TCAACTGGTCTTTGATGATCATATCGGCGAAAGTGGGATCTTCTTTGGCGCCATCGGCGGTGGCGGACGTGTAGTTCATGGATGAGGCGGTGGTAGTGTTGGCGCCGATTGTCGACTGGTCTTTGCGCGCGCGTCGGGAGAAGGACTCACTGCCGAACGACTCGACGCCCAACTCGTCGTTAAGGCTGTCGTCGGCCGGCGCTCTGTTCTCCTGATCCGAGCGATCGGCGCTCGACTCGTCGTCCGCCGCCATCTCTTCGTCAATAATAGTGTCGTCGGCGTCGGTGGCGGTCGTGTCGTCGCCATTGGCTGCGGTGGTAGTCGTGTCCTCCAGTCGGGTGTCTTCGGGCTGTTTAGGGGCCGAAAATGAGCGCAAAAAGTTGGCCACGAATTCAATGGTGTGTTTCGTGAACGGACTCTTCGGGTCGCAGTTCAACGTAAACAATATGTCTCTCCGGAGTTCGGCCGCGAAGTCCGACAACAGCTCTTCGGAGTCCGCCTGCGATCGCAACCGAGAAAAGTGCAAAACATTGGGTCAAAGAGTGAATCAAATGAGCGGATCTAATGAGGAGATGACAATGACTTACGTATTTGTGGTACAAGTCTTGCATTTGTGACAAACATTTCTGCGATTTATGCAAATGCTGTGAGTTATCAAAGATGCCGCGCATCTGATCCACGTTCACGTCCGTCATGTCGTGACTGCGATGGCTGTTATAGGCGTGTATTGTCCGCAACTGATCCTTGGGGTGATGTCTTGGTTTGCGATGACAACAACACAACAACAGTAGTGTTTGTGTGACTCAAAGCCAATCAAAGCATTTGCCGCCAAAACAGACGTTTCTATTCAATGCAAAGCCAATGGAAACACAGTTTACAGCGCTCTCTATGGACATGAGTTACACACTCTATACTCGCTTTGACATACGTTTTTGTAGAACCGATAATTGTGTTTATTATAACGCGATGTAAAGTATATTATAGTGATTTAATTGTAGTTGATGTGTATCATGATCATTTTTTGGTAGTTATTTAATATTTTTACATAGACTGATGTAATGCTATTGATATTTGTGGTAATTTTTTGGTTGCATTTTATCGCTGATAATGTTTGAGAAAAGTTTTGTAAACTTTTTAAAAAGTTTTGCCATAAATATGTGACAATTAAATTGATATAATTAATGAATATTAGTGTGACTTGTATTGCATTTTACGGCTTAGAGAGAGAGATCTCGACAATCTTGAGGAAGAAAACGATGGACAACACTATTATCTAGTTTTAAATGACACAATAACTGTTATATAAGTTATATTAAATATAATTATCAATTCATTACTTACTTCTTGTATTTTATAATTGTTTATTAAAAACATTTTTCCCAAATAAAAACCAATTGTTTTTTCTTTGGTTTTCTCCGCAAAATTCATTAACTATTTTATAACACGAAAAAACAAATTTAACAAATTGATACAAATTACTGAAATAATAGTGTAAAAAGTTTAAAAACACCTTAATTTTATAGGATATTGAATACTTTTCATCCAAATAGATGTGATTAAAGAAAGTATTTGTTTTGTTGGCCTCCGACGAGACCGAAGAAGCCGTGAAGAATATAATTAACAAAAATATCACAAATAATATAACAAAATAAGCAAATAATAGGCGATAAAGAAAGTCAATGTTTGGAGTAAATAGGATGAAGAATAACATGAGATTCAATACAGGCATCACTAACAGGAAGATCCACAGCAGGTATTCACTCCAAAAGTTATCATTACATCCAATGATCTCCTTATGAATTGCATTCAAGTTCCCAAAAATGTTTATATTTGTCATTTCGGACGACATCAACACTTTTCTCAGCTTATGGTTGATTCGCTTGAGTTTGAGTCTTAGATAAAAGCAAATGATATGAAAGTATGCGATTTGATAGACGAGAAAACCGGCGCTGAATAACACATAACACGTATAAATAAATACCCCGGGAATGACCAGAAATACAAACTCACCGAACGTGGCATTCATGGCGAGGGGTACGCCCGACACCAGTATAGCCGACGGTATAGCTGTTTGTCGTAGAAATTCAGTACATTTTAACGTTAGGTTTATCTGTCGAAGCAATGCGTGAACATCTGTGGTGTGGGTCAGCCCTATGTCTTTAGGGGACATCAAACCGCTCGCCATTTGAAACGGTTTCAAATACTTAGGACTTATATCGTTGGCGTAATACCAGAAGTGGATCAGTTGTGTGACAATCGCTGTGAAGCCGTACAAGAGTTGAGCGATTGTTATGTGATATCGTATCTGTTTTGGCAGAAAGAATTGCCAATCGCCTAATATAAGGGCTAATCGGGGGTCGCTTTGGTCGTCGATCATAAATATTGAGACCAATATTTTAAGTGAAAACCCGATAACAGTAACGAATACGAGGAATGGATTGTAAAATAGTTTTCGTTTCGATGAACCGAAAGGAAATAATGATAAACCGATTCTATAGAAATCATTGCCAGCCAATGGTATAATGAGATTAGTGTCCACAATCTTATCGTGTTTTGAATCCGAGTTTTTGCCATATATTGTGTCCATTTCGGAGAAAACTTTATTTTTGTTTCTCATAATTAGTTGTCAAAACTTTTAAACTTAAAATCAAAATAATGTTAATTACTTTTTTAATTGATTACAATCGCCGTAACAATGTTTGGTAAAGTTATAAATTATAACTTTAAGTGTGAACAAGTTTTAATAATTATTATATGAATTTATACTTTAATGACATAAAATTTCATTAAAATTTTCAAGACTATAGATAAGTAATTATAAGACAAAGGCATTAACCAATGGGCTTTAATGCATATTTACTACACAAATTATTGTCCTTATTGTGTACAATTGTTATTTTATTGATCAAGTAGAATTTTAATTGTTTACGTACTCTTATAATTTGAAAATTATAATAAATATTACATATATTGCAATAAATAAATAAATGTTACATTAATTTATATACAGTATAATTAAATATATTTAAAATAATGCTATAAAAATAGTAATTATCTAATTAGATACTATATTTATACTGCATTAGTTTTTATATAATATTCATTATAAGTTATAATTTAATTAATAAATACACGATTTATTTTATATGGAAAATTTATTCTATTTATATCAAAACAAATTTTTTTATTGTTTGTCTGGAGTTTACATTTTTAAAATTATAATTTTTTTATATGAATAGTACTGTAAATTATAAAGTAGTTTAAAGACATAAATTCCTCGCCAATTATGTAATAATTTTGGTTTTTAAATACATTTGTATTATTAAAATTGATTTACTAATCAATTTCAGCACTTTATACAATAAGTAAATTTTTTAACTAATATAATTTAGACTGGATATTTACATTTAAACCTTATACTGTATCTATATTTAAAACTAACTACAGTATTTATATTAAAATAAATATAACATATAATTAAATACATTATAACATGTATATTATGTACAAATTCATCCTAATTCGCCTAATTAACCTATTAGTTTTACCTTAACCCTTAACGCGCATCGTTAAAAAAAGGTACGTTCCGTGCACCGTGGCGCAGTATTGTAAGTATGCGTATCGTGCATCGTGGCACATAATTGTAAATGAACGTAAACAAATTACGTAAATATAATATATATATATGGTTTATTGTTATTTTTTATTTATAAAATTAAAAATTTAAATTTAAATAATTAATAAAATAACTTCGCGTTATATAGACTGTCGCTATCGCTGTAAGACATTATATGGGAAGTCTTATTGGGATTATTTAGTCACTGACGAGATAATCGTGAGAATGTGTTTGATAGCCGGTGTGGAGCCGGTGTGGAGCCGGTGTGGAGCCGGTGTGGAGCATCCGGAAAAAATAATACAGTCCAACTTCTCTTGGGTGAACTTCTCTTGGATGAACACCGCCTCATAATGAACTGATTT